CATGGGGGGGAGTAGAAAATGAAGGCTAATCATGTTTTGGGTGTACTATTACTTTAACCAAATTTATTGAATATGTAGATCTCTTAGTTTCTTAAATGTTTTGTTTGTCCAACAGGTTTATAAAAGAGCATCTAATGCTGTTCTTAAATGTTCTGAATCATCAACCTTTGTTCATCCTTCATGGAGACAAATGTGTTTAAACTTTGGCTGTCTGTTCAGAGCAGAGTCCTGCTGGGAGCGGAGCTTTCTATCCATCTACCCATTAACCCTTTACCTGCTAAAGAAAAGCATTCCACAGCATGATGCTGCCACCCCCTTGTTTTACTGTAAAGACATGAACAAGGAATTTATGCAGGCAAATAAATAAAATAAACTAGATTATCCCCAAAAAATAAAACAAATACTTAGTTAATTATTAACTAGGAATAATTGGCTAACACTCAGGTCTTTGATATTTTAGGCTCTGCAGTGTCCTTCTAGCAGCTTTAGTTTGTCATCAGTACAAGAAATGAAGAAGATGAGTTTTGTAAAATACTTCCCATTTACGCTGGTTCTAAGGTGTAGTGAATTTACCAAAGAGAGAAATGAGTTTTTACAGCCTGCTCTTCACACTTGGAGGATTCTTGCTTCATGCCTCAGTTAGCACAGAGAGAAACGTCCCTTCTCAAGCTATAAGAGGTGAGACTAACTGATTTAAGTTATTTCCATCAGAGCTCTCAATCCAGCCTCTCTTCCATGGGCTCCACTCTCTGCTTAAATCCCAAACCTGGAACACTGAGATTATTGCAGACAAACTGAGATATCAGCAGCAGTGATTCAGAATAGAGTCATGCTGCTATGCTCAGACACTGGGTGGGTAGAAGCTGTAAACCCATTTCTATAATGTTGATGTTGATAGCCAGGCTAGTTCTCTAAACTCATCTTTTAACTCTTCACTTTTAAGTTATTTTATACATTCTTCTAAGGTCCATATTTGTGTGACCATATTTTCTAGAATCTTTTTTCTGCTGTAAACACCAGAATTTCCCAATTCTTGGATAATAAAGGGACTTTCTATTCTATTCTATTCTATTCTATTCTATTCTATTCTATTGTATTCTATTCTATTCTATTCTACTGCACCCTCTGTGGCAGGTGAAGGGAACAGCAAGACATGCCCCCCCCCCACCTCTAGCAATAGATTTTATTGTATTTTATTTGTGTTTTTATTGTGAATGTGGCTTTTGTCTAAAAAGCTGTCAAACATCATATTGCTATAAAAGCTCTATAAAACTTTAACCCTCACAGCTGATCAGGAAGTAAAATGTAGCAGATAACAAATCTGCAAAGGAAACAAAGGAGTATGTTAGAGGTGCCCTAAAAATGGTATGATCTATTCAGATTTAAAGGAGTCCTTATGATGCAATTTGTTTTTAATTCACCGTGGTTAAGAATATTTACCTAAAGCGGGAATAAGTACGAAAAAAACACCCTAAAATTTACAATGAAGCAGTTTTACTTTGGTGCAGCATGCAGCCTGTGTTTACTTCCTGGTTCCTGAGCCAATCATATGAAAGTTCCCAGGGTTGCTAAAACAGATCATTTGGTATCAGCAGCCTAAAAACATGGAAGCAGGAAGAAAAACAGACAAGAAATAGTCTCAACAAAAACCTCAGCTTCCTTTAAATGTTTTTACACAGTTTACTTTAGCTGCATGATCTTCACATGCATCTTGACTTTAGCTGCACTTCTCATCTCTCCTGACTTGGCGACCTGCACCACACTCTGATTTTAAAAACGGAGCTGATCTTTAGATTAAATGATTAGTGTTGTTAAATCAGAGGACAGACTGCAAAACTTTTTTTGCATGCTTGCCTGGATCAGTATATTCTGATAAACAGAGTGAAGGATATATAAATGTGAACATCTACTGCATGCAAGGTTATTTTCTATACTTATAAACTCATTTTTAGTACTTGTGAAAGTCAGCTACAAATTAACAAACAGAAATATCTTCAGGCATTTTTCTCACAGAGACTTAGACTAATTTTAAATTTCGAAATTTGGTTTCATACAGCTCTCAGGACATTTTCATTCCATAAAGTTCAGTAATAATCAAATGTGAACAGTGTGGGAGAAAAAACACATTCATCTGGAAGTTCAGAGCATTAATATATATGGTGCAAAGAATGCAGTATTTTAGTTTGGGGTTATCAGTGTGATGCAGAGTCTGGGACCAGATTTACAGTTTAACAGCTCAGCAGTCTGATGGCTGGTTCTAATATTTAGTCTAAACTTCTGTGGTGACAATGGATATTGCTGCAAATTGAAATATTTCAGTCATTTGTACTGCTTAGAGAAACTACAGCAATTCTATTTATGTAATAGAAATGAAAAAGATGTTATGGTCTGTTGCAGTGATTGTCAGGTTCATAGTCTGGATAGACCTGAGGGTTAGGGTTAGACAATTTGCACGATGCTCATTGCAGCCCGTCGCCAACATGCTTCACCCAGAAACGATCTAGAAATAAAAAAAAATTATAGTTATAGTTTTACTGAGTAAAAAACAGAATCTGTATTTTTACTCCTAAAATAAGATAATTAGATGATATCCCTTTAAAGTGACAATGCAATATTTTTTTTCTTATTTGAAATGTAAATTGACTTTTTTAATTGGCATAGTGGCTTATTTAGATTTCAAAGTTTTCTTCCTTTCGTCCATAAGTTGAAAGTTTCAGGGTTTTTTTTAGAACCAGTTTTAACTTTTAAGTTTTGAATTCCAGTTGTCTGCCAGTTTAGGGTGAAAATGGAAGCGTTACAGCATGGCTGCTGGTATCACAGATGAAGGAAGGGGCAGTGGCACCGAGGCACGCCCATTTATAGCTTTCATCTTCTCTCTCAAGTACAAGACCCCCCCACAAACACACACATGCACCCCCACACAGCAGTACATTAGCATGCATGGTATGCGAGTCACAGCTCCTCCTAATATCTTCTCGGACACGCTGGAGTCTAAGCAGGAGTTTATCTTCACACACAAAGAGCTATATCGCTGTGAATAGGTGTATGACTCAGCATCAGCCAGACCAATTAGAGGCACGGCTGACAGTCTGTGCTTTAAACATGCAGCGTGCAAACAGACACGCTAACAGCTCAGCTCCCCAGCCCTTCCTAACCCTCTCAGCGGCGTGTTTCTCATAGCAGTGAGTCATAGTGACTGGACGGCACACAAGGTGTTCTCTTTTTCTCTAACAAGCATATGCTAACCTTAACAACCTGCTTGTGTCCAGGTTTTTGTTGTTGTCATTTTTTGCTATGAATCATGTTTTTGTCCATCAATGTAAAGCAGACAGCTTTACTCAAACCTTGGTCTACTCAACTCAAACAAACCATCCAGACAAATGAAAAGCTCTGCAGGTTCTAAGCTGTGTGTTTCAAAGTGACTGGATTAGATGATAATGGTTCCCCAGACGTACCGACTAAAAGCATCTTCACTTTCTAATCAGAAATGATCCCAATCATCTCTTCACACTTATGGCTCAGAACGCTCAGTTCCCTGGAGAGCTCCGACCCACTGAGTCTGAGGACGTTC